GGGTAATTCTATTTTTAGTTGCCTAATTAGGCGGGCAATCCTATTTTTAGTTGCCTAATTAGGCGGGCCTAGTTGCTTAGATTAGGCAGGGTTGGACGCATTGCCAGCTGCGCCAGCTGCCTTCCATGGTAGCTGTAAATGCCACAGCTGGACACACAGACACACACATACGGGCAAATATAGCGAGACCCCCTGTCGGGATATTGAACTTGTAACCCCACACCTTTTCCGTTCTGAGCACTGCCTAAAAATGGGCTTTTCAGTTGTATTTAGTCGTGATCCTCTTAATGAATGATAAGTGTCTCAAGGCGCTTAAATAATACTGACTACTAGTCACAAATAGTCTCTAAAATTTGCGACCTTGGTCCACCCGGGTTAGGAACCATAGAAATCATAGAAGCAGAATAATTTAGTCCAATTTTCAATAACCATTTCTTCCAGCCAACAAAATAGTAAGAAAGGGTATTAAAGAACCTTATTGATATTGTTTTACCTTTGTTGTCCAACCATCTAACCATGTAAGTAAACAAATTGTTGTACAATCAACAAGCAATGATCTAAAGAAACCCAGTTTATAAAGATACTGTATTCATTTTGTATTCAGAAGTGTGAAAAACTTCAGTTGTATACACTTTAATATTTTAAGTAGGTCAGACACAAACTTCTATTATAAAAACTTCTCACCATTTGCACCTTGGGTGCCTCTTTGTTGGGTTTTCAAGATTCTAGTTTTGGTAATCATATATTATCTTTATCAGAAGTAAGTTACAAGAGTTTCTTTAGACAAGGTTATTTTTGTTGTATGGCAACATTTAATATCAAATCCACATGTTGTGCTACAAAGCTCATGAAACTTGTAATATGTAACTTTTAACTTGAAATAAATAACTTGTAACAAACTTAAGATTCCCATTCAAGTTCAAAGCTCATAATAAATGTTGAAAATATCTCCATTTTTAAATACCAGTTCTGAACTTGGAATATTAAAATTATTACAAACTTCAGTTTCTTATCTTAGTTTTGTCCAAAAATTATGTGTTAAAATGACTTAATAAGTTTAAGTCCATTTGAAAAGTTTACTTCTTAAAAAGTCAAGTTAACAGTTCCCAGTCCTAATTTATATGACCTTTCAAAGGTGTAAGAAATACTACAAACTCCAATGTCAGCCCCACCATATCCAACCTTAAAAAATATAGTTCCAACAGTAGATCTTCTATGTGATATTGTACATGCTGATAACCTACCATTCCTATTACTCCATTCCATTTCCCAGTTTCTTCATCCAAGGTTCCCCAGACTTCATCATTGTATAAAAAGATAGCTTGTAGCTGATACATCTCTTAAAAATTGTTAAATTTTAATTCAAACAGTAGTGTGGCCTAATCTTGTACTGTAAGCTCACCTAGGAATGCATTTAGGCGATATCCTTCATAAGTTGCTATGCCTATTTCTTCTGTTTCCAGGTCATATTGGAAATGTTTACCCCAGTTATTAAATCCAATCCTTTAAGGGGTGAAAATGGTTATGTAACTTACGTTAATTAATAAAAAGAAAAAGTTGAAATTAAGGGAAAAAATTTATCAAGTTAAATGTTCCTGTCATGTTTATCATATAGTGATAAATGCTGTTAGATACTTTCCCAAAGGCCTTTTCCCAAGCAGCAACTTCTTAAGAGTATTTTCCCAAGTGGCAACTTCCCCAATGTGCAGATTCCCAAGTAGCAACTTCCCCATTAAGGAAAAGCGGTAACTTTCCAAATGTACATTTTCCCAAGTAACAATTTTCCAAATGGCAACTTTCCCATGAAGAAAAAACAGCAACTTCCCAAATGTACATTTTACAAAGTAACAATATCCTTGATTTGTTAACAACTGTAACCAACTGCTTGAAAAAGCTTGGTGATATGTGCTTCTTGACACTTTGTTAATAAACTCAAGGATTTTAAAAGGGGGAGTTAAAAACTACATTTTCTACACTTGACTGGAATTTAAACATCTAAAGGATAAATCACAATATACAACAAATAGAAAAAGACGGTTAGTTTGAGATGGAGTACAAAACTTAGAAACTTCCTATTTGAGGTGTAATTTGTTTAATTAAAGGAAATTCTGCTCTGGATGAGATCGAAAAAAAATTTAAATAATTGGTTTCAAGTGCAATTATCAATCTGTAGAAACAAGTCAATGAAACCAGAGTTGGTTAGGATAAGTAAGAAAGTTGGCAATCTTTACTTTCAGTGTCAAGACCAAAGTCTTGATGTTTACTCGCCTAAAAAAGAAAGTTTAAACTTTGAAAGGTAAAAACCCAGGACAGAGAGAAAGTTACTATAAATATCAACAAGGCTTTAAACGTACAGGAGAAAAGTATTTACGCTCAACTTAAGATTCAAAAGGTTTGGACTTTTAGTTATTCAAATTTTCTATTCAACCTTTAGTAAATTTAAATATTTTAACTCTGCCCTCTTATTTTTTGGTTTACCAGTTTTAGATAATTATTCAATTTCCAAAAAATAAACTCAACAAGTAGGATTAAAGTTTGTATATTAGAAAGGAGAAGGGGAAGGGTTCAGAATTATTTGGATCAATACTTTCACTTAAGATTACAAACATCACAATGGATTACTTCAATTCTATAACTGTTCTATAGTTGATAATTTGATTCACAAGAATAAATAATGTCTGAAGTTTAGTTCTCTAACTGGTTCTATCTCTTTCTACTAGATCTTACTGTCTCTAATCTATCAAGTTGTTACTTTTGAATACGAAGATATTTTCACCTTAAGAAAATCTTACATTTTAAAACTTATCAAGAATAATAAAACAACGCTGGATATTTTTATTATGATTTTGTAAGATTTCAAATCTTAAAGATTTATCTTTGTTTTAAAACTGGCTAGAACCATGGTGGTTCGCCATCAATGGTATTTTGAGAAAATTAAAATATAAATCATGAATACTTTTCTTATTCAGTAACCTAAGGGTTTGATGAAAGAAAGAATCAGGTTCTCTGTTCTCTTGTTCCCCCTTGTATACTACAGTGGACAAGTAGGTTGACCATCGACCTTTAAACTTCTGATTGTGTATATCCCTGAATAGCAGGTTAACTAAGGAATGATCCGTAGGGATTTAAAAAGTTTACTTTTATCTCAGAAGCAATGTTTCTATTGGAAATTTCAGATTAATTTTAACAATTAACGAACTATGTTTACTATTTCTGCTTTCAATTACTTACCAATATGCAAATGAAGATGAACACTTTGAAAGCATCATGAACCGGGGCAATTCTGTTTTTCAAAGAATTTTATCAAACTTTTTCTTCTTTTCCTCTCTGTTCTTCAACACTTTTTTCTCTATCTACTCCATCTCCTTCTCCTCCACTTCTCTTGGCTTTCCTTTGATTCTAAATTGTTATTGTTTCATCTAAGCAGGGAACTTTAGAATGGGAAACCTTTAATCCTGACTGCTTAATCCGAATTTCCAATGTGGAATTTTTAAATTTTTTGCTTGATCCACTCTTTTCTGGATATAGTATAGAAAAATCAAAACCGGTTTTCAAAAGTACAAGATTAGGTTAGTCTTGAGATTAAGAAAAAGAGAGGATCAAACATTGATCTTTATATCCACCATTCTAAAGTTCCCAGCTCTGGCTTTATTTTAATTAAACATGTATTTATCTTTGCCTCGCATTCAAAACAACCAGCAATGGTTAGAGAGGTCCTGACTCTTGACTTAATTAAAAATATAAAAATTATGCACTACCTGTTATTGTTTTTATTAAAATATTTAGTGAAATATATATATCTATCTATCTATAAAATTAAGTTCTTTAATGTTAGGGAGTAAGTTAGCGCTTCTTTGATTTATCCCTAAATGATTTTCATGCTGTTTGCTATCTTCTTGAAAATTAATTTGAAGAGTATGATTGTATCCATGGTTCATGTTCTCATCTATCACAACCACCTCAGAGAAAAATGGTTTTTATAAACAACTTTAAAGTTTAAACATCAACTGGCCTAATAGAATGTAATAAATTTAATTGAGATCATACATTTTAACATACATTTGTCTACAGACAAGGATTTTGATTTTTTACATTATAAGCTCTTTTTTTAAAAACTATGCCTAATTAATACCTTATCAGAAATTATGATGATACATTTAGTAAAAGATAAAGCAGCCATATTGGGTTTCAGTTCAGTTTCATTCTCCAAGATCAGCTGTTGTTCTCCAGGAGTTACAATATCATTAATCCTACAAGAATAATCTGAAATCCTTGTTAATTCCTAATTTTAATAATTTAGTACTAGGGTTTTCCCCCTAACATCCTCAAATCTCTGTGACTCTCTCTCTCCTAGCCTGATGCCAGCTGACTAGGGGGACTGAATCTTAGCTACCTGTCTGTGTGTATTAGCCTGAGTGTACACTTGGGACAGTTTACTAAAAAATATTATTAAAAGATTTAAGCCTATTCATACAGTACAAAGATCAAATATGCAGTACCCTTTCAGAGTACAAGTGTATGGGGAGGTTTTGTATCTTGTATTTTACTCAGTTTTCTCAGAACCGTTCATTAAAGAAAGTGTTTGCGAAAAATGAAAAGGGGGTATAGGCATACAACGCTTTTGATTGCTACTAATCTTACTTCTATCTGCTGCGTCTATCAGGAGAAAATTGTTAAAAACGACTCATACCGATAACATAGCATTCACCCAAATTGAGAAAATTGCAATCCATGAGTAAGATCATAAAAAAAAATCGATTTATTATCAAACAAATCATTTAGCTATTACAACCTTTAGTCATCGATTATTTTTCAATGCATTGTCATATAGTTGATATTTCATAATATTTTGTATTTGTTTTATATACAATGCACTTAAAATGCCGATTAGTTTATCCGCCATGTGTCTCTGCTCTTGATGCTCTTAATGATTCCACGTGACAGAGATACCAAGCGGAAAAAAAATTGTTGTTTTAAGTGCATTGTTTATAAAAGAAGTAAAATATATTATGAAAAAAATATACAAATATGACGAAAAATAATCGATAACTATAGGTTGTAAATATTTGAATGATTTGTTTGAAATTAAATTGATTGTTTTTACGATCTGAGTATGTTATTCAGCATAAGTCGTAATGCACAATTTTCTCCTAATAGACGCAACAGATAGAAGTAAGATTGTAGCTATCAAAAGCGCTTATTCTTCATCATAAGCCTATACCCCCTTTCATTTTACGTAAACACTCCCTTTAACTATGAAATATTTATTCTGTAAAAGACTGTAATAGTACGTCTTCCTGTGAAAATGTAATCCTGCACATGATAAAGGAGTAGTTGATTTTAATAGTTACATTGACAACAAATTATCGGTTTAAATATTTTCAGAAATCACCCCCGAGTACTGTAATATACAGATTGACCTTTGGAAGTGAAGTGCATGGCCTGTACAATAAGTAAAGGATTAGCGTACATCATCACTCTATATACTATAACCTCATTGCAGCTGACCCAGCTGTTAAGTTTAAAACATGCACACTGAGATTTACACATTAACTCTTAGGTTTGTAGATTCAAAAATTACATCATACAAAACTTTCAAATATGCCATTAAAGACAGCAAATGTTGGTTGGCCAATCCAGCCATTAAATTGTTATTTTAAAGAATATACCTGTGTCAATTTATGTACTTTAATGATAAATATATCTATCTACATTGAGGAAAATAGGAATAAAACTGTTATTTTTAATCTCCACTACAAAAAAATATTTATAGATCTTAAAAAACTAAAATTTTTGTTACATAATTTTTATTTGATTGATATCTTTGCCATAAGAAAGCTTATGGGAAAAAATGAATTAATGTAATACCATTTTTCTCCTTTAGATCTAAATTTTTCTTTACTGTTTATCAATAACAATAATTTTGGAATTTCTTCAATCTATTTTTCATGTGTCTAATGTCCAAATTACTGACCTGATATATATGACAACACAGGTTTCAGAACCCTGCACTCTCCTAGTTTATCAAAAAAATTATTGCTTCAGAAAAGGCAAAACATTCGATCATTTAACTGATAGCTAAAACAAATCTGAATATTACAGAAATGTTAGATATTTAATCATTTAATTTAATTTTTATATACCTTAGGATCCATTGAACGACATTCCAACTGTTTTGCTCCTGTTCCTTGGTACAATCAGCGAATACAAATCCTAGGTTAACTATCAGTACTATTCCCAGGATTATTGTAATATATTTCATTTTTAAGTCTGAAACTTTAATCATAAGTTGTATTTTTCCTCGAAATTTAGTATTACCTTGAATGTAAAATATCCTTTCTATAAAATGTCCTTTCATTATATTCCCCATCACCCTCATCGAGTGCCATACTTTATTTTCAGTATGCAATAAATTATTAATAAATAAAGAGGTATGAGTTGAATGTAAAACAACTTCACCCAATGAAAACCCAACTATCTTTAAGATTTTTAAAAAAATTTTAAATTTAAAGATATTATTCGAGACACAAATAAGGTATGGGTTTTCAAACTTTTATTTAGCCAATGAAAATGGGAACAAAATCACAAAAACGAAAATTTTCGCTTTTCTTTTGCGAACATTTTTGAAATTTTTGCAAATTCATGATAATTTTATGAAATTTTGCAACATATTTTGAAAAATTCTAGAAATATCTATTTTCCAGACATTCCGTCAGATTCTCACATTCTTCTTGAAGCAAATGTAACAAATGAACAAAATTTTTACAAAATGAGTTCTTAAATTTCTAACAAAAATAAATCGAAAATTTTGACAAATTTTGTTAGCATCACTTTCGCTCAATTTAGCAAATATGGTTCAAAAAAAAATTAGTTTAGAAACTCTAAATAAGATAAATTATATATTGTTCTGTTATAGTGAAAAGATAAGATAAGATAAAGTTTATTGCAAATACATGTACCCCTGTGTACAGAACCAGTTTACAATTACAAATGGATGATTATATTAACAGTACACGTATAAGCAATTAGGTGGGAAATAGCTCTTGGCTGTTTTAATTATTTTTCCCACCTAATTTAAGACAAGTTGATAGTTAAGAGATCTTTCAAAATTTCCAAGCTTTTTAAACATTTTTTTCAAAAGATCAACCTTATACTTAAGGAAAAGAGGATCACTATGAGACGTGACTTTTGAGTTATCAATTAATCTTATTGCTCGTTTCTGTAAAATGTGAATTTGCTTAATTTCTGAACATTTGTTTCTTCCCCAGGCTGAAATTCCATATTATATAAATGATTGAAATAAAGAGTTGTAGATATGTATATGGTTCTAAATTTATTGTGCTATTGAATTCCTAATGCACTGCATCACATTTATAAGCTTTAATTAAAAATAATCCTAATTAACAAACCAGCATTGATTGGAAATAAATTAGCCTTGAAACTAGAGATCGGCAACTTCAGTTTTTTTATTTGAAGTTTTAAATGCAAAACAAAAAAGACAAGCGCGTTTAAAAAAATACTTGTTTTATGATTTAATCTTTGATTTTTTAATTGAGATTGATTGAGGGTTTGACATATAGACAATGCTTGTGTCTCTGGGTGGCATTTAGAGCCTGAGTAATAGCTTGTTTGATAGCTACGGTTGTATTTCTGTCTGGCATTTAAAGCCTGAGTAAATAGTTTGTTTGATAGCTACTGAGATCACGCCCAGTGATAGTGAGTGGCGTTGATAGTTCACAAGATTGTAGTTTAGTGGATTGTGTCCTGTTTGATGGGTTGTACCTGGACTGATACAGTTTTGGGGACGAAGTTTTAAGAGTACGGCATTTAATACATAGTTTTATTAAACATGTTAAAAATTTTTATTTTCAATATTTATTTAAAATTTTTCTAATAAAATAATTCAAATACATTGTAATTTATATGAGACAGAAAAAGAAGAAAATTTCACCCCCTGTTCAAAAAAAATACTCGTATTATGGCAACAAGAAATAAGTCGAACTTTGTTCAGTTACAATTATACAATTATACAATTATACAATTATACATTTATACAATTATACAATTATACAATTATACAATTATACAATTATACAATTATACAATTATACAATTATACAATTATACAATTATACAATTANAATTATACAATTATACAATTATACAATTATACAATTATACAATTATACATTTATACAATTATACAATTATACAATTATACAATTATACAATTATACAATTATACAATTACACAATTATACAATTATACAATTATACAATTATACATTTAACAAATATTTTATTTTAAATTTTTTAAGACAAAGTGGGTGCTCAGTTTCTTTAAAATATGTACTTTTTGATCCCTCAAAGAGACTGTAAGCGTAATTTCAAGTAACCCTCCATGCAAAGATGGCAATGCCAGATTTACAATGACACCCTCGAAATCTAAATCAAATAAAAATGTGGTAGATAGTGATACCATCGTTTTCCAGACTCAAAAAATGTTCTTTTTTATGAGAAATGTGCAATTGTCACTTTTGCAGAGAAAAAGCAAATTAAAATAAACAATTTAAATGAAATAAAAACAAAAATCTAATTCATACTTGATCAGACAAAGCTTTAAAGAGTAAGTATTAAATCGGGTATGGCCATCTTTGCATTGAAGGTCATTTTGAATTATTTTCGTATTGCCATTATCTCAATTTTTTTTCAAATCCATATAATTATGGAATTTTTATCATTAAAAAATGTCATATTGTTCACTTCGAATGAGTTTGAAAGATTTATTTAAATTTTTCAATTGTATTTCAGTAAACTTTACATCTGGTATAATAGGGATCTAAGGATTCTTGTTATAAAAGCACTTTAAAAATCATTGTGTGTACATTTGCCTTATAAAAATATTACATCATCCATTTTTAGTAATTGTTACCACGTCATACATAGTTTAAAATATTATTGATATCTACATACAGTTAAACCCTAAATAAGCCAAACATCGAAAGAATTTATCAAATGTCATATTCTCCACTTTCTGATAATGGAATGTTGCAGATATTTAGTTTTTCAATTAAATGATTATATGGAGCTCTTTAAAAAATGTTCCCGCATATTCATGGCTATTTATTTATTTTCGCAAATACTGATATTTACGTAAAATAGTATAAAACCTATTGAAAAATTGTCAAGACGACATTTGATAAATTTTCGATGTATGGCTCAGTAAGTGTTTAACCAAAGAGAACAGAATATATATTAGAGTCGAATTTAGACAATCCCTCGGTATGAATCTTGTCAGTCCCTTTCAGTTTGAAAGTGTACAAATCATGTAAATGTTCACAAATTATGTGCAGTAGAGTTAGTTCATTAATACAGTATGTTCCCTAGACTATCCATTTCAATTTCGATTTTTTTAAAGCTGTTAAATAATAAAATGAATTAGGTGAATAAAAAACATCATTTGATTTATAGTTATAATGGAAAATCATTGTTTGTAAAGTGAAAGGCATAGAGTCTATGTGAAATGATCATTGGTCAATCATGAAACCAGCCTATTTCATAATTTGGTTTTCTTTTTATATTAATTTTAGATTTTCTATAAAAGGATGTTCCGGGGCCCAAAAGGTTTAAATCTATAAATAAATATATTTTGTTTTTCAAATTTGCATTTAATTTGTTAATTGGAGCCAACCTTTATAGATTTTATTGTTGCCTTTCCAATTAGATAAATGCTAAAAAAACTTAATTTAAATACTAATTTAGTATTTAATACAGAAATATTCGTTAAAGTGAAATTAAACTCTAGAGAAAATAAATCCATTTAGTATAAGCATCATGGCGTAAAAAATAACGACCAGCAGGTCAACATATTTTTCAATCTTTATAAGGAAACAAGACATTCGTATATATGTTCCCTATAGTCGACCAAAGACTGGACCGAATGAGCTGAATTGTTTTGTGGACACTCATGGGTAGCCTGGGAGTAACAAAGGCTACAAAAGTCTATTTCCTTTTTTTCAAAATTTTCAATTTTTTTCAGAATTTTTTATTTTTATATTGTTTCTTATTTTTTGTATAAAGGCAACGCCTGGCCCTTCAGCTAGTCACGTTTAAGGGAATAAGCGGTAATCTCAAGTGACCCTTCATGCAAAAACGGCAATGCCTAAATTAAACAAAAGTACCCAATTGAAACCTTTGTCTGGTTAATATAGTAGAAGATATTGTCTCTTTTCTACTCTTCAAGTCACCTGTGTGGAGAAACTACAATTGAAACCTTTGTCTGGTTAATATATTGTAGAAGATATTGTCAATTTTCTACTCTTCCAGTCACCTGTGTGGAGAAACTACAATTGAAACCTTTGTCTGGTTAATATTGTATAAGATATTGTCCCTTTTCTACTCTTCAAGTCACCTGTGTGGAGAAACTACAATTGAAACCTTTGTCTGGTTAATATATTGTAGAAGATATTGTCTCTTTTCTACTCTTTAAGTCACTTGTGTGGAGAAACTACAATTGAAACCTTTGTCTGCATGGTTAATATTGTAGAAGATATTGTCTCTTTTCTACTCTTTAAGTCACTTGTGTGGAGAAACTACAATTGAAACCTTTGTCTGCATGGTTAATATTGTAGAAGATATTGTCTCTTTTCTACTCTTCAAGTCACCTGTGTGGAGAAACTACAATTGAAACCTTTGTCTGGTTAATATTGTAGAACATATTGTCACTTACTCTTCAAGTCACCTGTGTGGAGAAACTACAATTGAAACCTTTGTCTGGTTAATATTGTAGAAGATATTGTCTCTTTTCTACTCTTAAAGTCACTTGTGTGGAGAAACAATTGAAAATAAGTAGTTTCCAAAATGTTAAACATTGATTTCTAATTCATAATTGAACAGACAAAGGTTGTAAGGGTGAATCAGGCATTTACTTCTTTCCATGAAGGGTCTCTGAATATTATGCATGAAGTCCCTTTAAAGGTAATTTTTATCACATGTTTTGCCACAAACTCTGATCTTTTAATTCCTATATTTTTGCAATCCAATGTGACCTTTGATATTTCAAACCAGAAATTTTGAAAAATAATTAATATCGTTTGTTAACAATCTCAATTTTCATTAACGGCGTTAATGAAAGATTTTTTTAATTAAATGCATTTTTGTTTGTCACGTTCACATTTAGTTGACCTACAGTGAAACCCTTAATAACAAATACTTCGAAGAATTCATCAAATGTCGTATTCTTCACTTTCTGATAATGGAATGTTGCAGATATTTAGTTTTTTAATTAAATGATTATATGGAACTCTTTAAAACTGTTCCCGCAAATTCATGTCTGTTTATTTATTTCTCAAATACTGAAATTTACGTAATGTAGTATTAAACTCATTGAAAAATTGTC